AGAACTGGAAGGGACCTTGGAAGGTCATCAAGTCCAGTCCCCTGTCTTCACAGTAGGAGCAAGTACCAAACCCAACAAATTTTTGCCCTAAATTGCATCCTCAAGGATTGAGCTCACAATCCTGGGTTTAGCAGGGCAATGCTCAAACCACTGAGCTATCCCTCCACAACCTCTTGCCTACCTTTCTTTAATGTCATTGGCACCTACAAGTATTGCGACCTCCAGTTTCTCACCAACACTGCATGTCCATTGAGATATCCGACAACATTCACTCTATGGCTACGACTACACGGCAACCCTCTTTCGAAAGAGGCTTTTTCGAAAGATACTTTCGTAAAAGCTTCTTTCGAAAAAGAGCAGCTAAACTACAATCAGTACTTTCGAAAAGGCAAGCTGCTTTTTCGAAAGAGAGCACCCAGGCAGTCTGGATGCTCTCTTTTGAAAAAGCACAGTTTGCCTTACATAGCACCTTATTCCGAAAGAGCACTTTCGAAAAAAGGCGTTATTCCTCGTGAAATGAGGAGTAATGCTGTCGAAAGAAAAGCCACGTTCTTTCGATTTAATTTAGAAAGAAAGCAGCTATAGTCTGGTGAAGTTTTTTTTTTTTTAAGGCTCCTTTTTTTGAAAAAACCCTGCAGTCTAGACACAGCCTATATGGGCAATTTGTCATGCAGTTCTCCCAGTCATCTCAAACCCAGCGATCTATATTTTAACAGTTCAATCCTCTATTACTATTCTCTGCCTGTCCTCTTCCCTGTAGGGTATCTTAGTATGAACTCAGTGGTAACAAGGGTCCCTGTTATGGGATTCTTTCCCTCTTTTCCAGCTTGATATTTTCCTTTGCTGGGGCTTTTATCCTCCTCAGCAGTACAGAAGCTATGAAACTGGAGAATGGCTGCTCTACTGTGTCCTGAAAAGTCTCTTCTTTGCACTGCTCTGTCTCCCTTAGCTCCTCCAGTTCAGACTGTCCGGTTTCAAGAGCCTGTTCTTGGACACTAAGGCAGGGCGAGGCAAAATATGGCCTGCAGGCCAGATCCGGCCCACCAAGCCACCAGATCGGCCTGCAATTGCAGTGGGGAGCCTCAGACAGACTCCCTGCTTGCTGCCCCACATGCTGCTCAGAAAAGCAGCTGCCGGCCGTTTGTGTTTCACAGTTGTGAGGGGAAGGATAGGGGAAAGACTTCAGGTGCTACCCCCACCCCAGCACAATCCCATTGGCCAGTTTCTAGCCAATGGGAGCTGCCTGTTTGAAGAAGAGGCAGTGCGGGAAGCACCACTGCCCCACTTCCCTCCAGCTCTTATTCGTTGATGCACATGGCCCCTGCAGCCTCTGCGGGGCCAGGGCAGGCTGCCTGAGAAACCTGCTGGGCTGCTGGCTGGGAGTCACCCAGGTAAGTCTTCAGGCCAAATCCTGCCTCTGGCACCCCAGTACCTCCCTTTCTCTCCCCAACGCTCCTGCCCCCTATGCTACATAACCCAAACACTCTGCTCCCCTCCTGAACCCATACCGCTCCCAGATACTGCACCCTAATTCCTTGCCCTAGGTCAAACCCCTGCTCCCCAGTCCCCTGCCCTACATCACAATTACTTCCAGCCTTAGGTCACAACTCAAACCCCTGCTCCCCAGTTCCCTGCCCTAGATCACGATCACCTCCAGCCTTTGGTCACATCCCAAACCCCTGTACCCCCTTGTGCACCCAGTAGGTCACATCCCAAACCCCTGTACCTCCTCCTGTACCCCAGTCCCATGCCCCAGATCACAACTGCCTCCTTCAACTAAACTCCCTCCCAGACCCTATACACCCTCCTCCTGCATCCCAATCCCTTACCCCAAGCTCCCTTCTGCACCCAACCTCTATCCCAGACCCTGCTTCTCCTCCATTAATATCTTAAAGAGTGCAGCCTATAACCATTTTCCAAAATCTTGAAGTGCCCTCCGCCATCAAAAATTATTGGCCACCCCTGCTCTAAGGGCTCTGAGTAACTGGCATCAAATGCATATGCGCTTCCTGCTCACAAGATTGGTATCTATACATACAACATTCAGTGAAATACACTGCATAGTCCCTCCCCCACTGGTGCTGGACTTCTGCCCTTATTATTTTTACTCTTGGGTAAAAACCAGGCAAACGTCGTCTGCACTGTGTTCTGGTTGACAGAAAAGGCTTCTTGGTCTGTTTTTCTCCTTTTCCAGCAGCAAACCATCCTCTCTGTGTTTTTCCTTTTGCCGTCAAGCTCCCATAGTCACCTCGCCTGCTTTTCTTTTCCTTTGCTGTGTGTGTCTTAGGTGTGAAAACCTGTCATTAACTTTGTTTATCCATGAGGTCTGCTTCGGTTCAGAGCACAAACAATAATATTCCTCCTCTACAGCATATATGAGTAAGCTCATTATTCTGTCTCCTTTCCTACGTAATTTACCCTTGTACCCAATATTTAAAGAGGCCCAGCATTCCATGAAAGACGGCTTTTCTATTTCCTCCCAATTAGCATGTGGAACTTGAAAATATTCCTTTGAAGCAGGCAAAGCATTCAGTAGATACACGTAAGCCATGCATGCAAATGCATGCAATATCTATCAGATGTCCTTGTTAGATTAATGTCTACTAGCATGTTGATATTCCTCCTATGCTGAGATCTCTCTTTTTTCCAAGATAAATGGCCATTTTCACACTCTGAAATGTGCCATCCTGCTATAATAAATCCCATTTGTATTGGACAATCAGCACTTAGTTTGTCTTTCAGAGGGTATTCAAATTTTGAAGAACTGTCGCATGAATAATAACTACATTTACTTAACAGGGGGAAAAGTTTACATGAGAGCTAAATGGGAACTGCTATTATATCTGTCTTTCACAGATCACAAGTGATTCAATTCACTAGAGAGACTTCATAATGTCTTAACTTTTCTGAAGGAGTGCGAGTGTTGGTTTTAGAAATAGTACAGCAATTTAACCCAAAAAGGATCTGATTTACTAGGCAATTTTTTCATATTTATAACATCCTGTACATTTTTACTCTTGGAAGAAGTCTATGCTACTGGATTGTGCTAGTCCTCTACAGAGGCGGGGAGGGGGGAGAGAGGGAATGTTATCAATTTGACTTTAAAAAATTGTCCATCGAGCTGTCCTTGTCTGAAGACTGTAAACTTTTCAGAGCAAGGGCTGTGCATTGTTTTAAGTTTGCAAAGCAGATATGTTGGCACTACTGCAATCGAAATCATCAAAAGCCAAGAGACTGAACCAAATATCCCGAAACAGTTTCTTGCAAATTATTGTGTTACCAGTGCCAAAATTCAGGTACTATATTTAGTGACAAAATTAATTAAATATCTCTTCGCTCTGTAGAAATGATGTACATTCCTTTTTTTCCAACACTACTCCAAGGCTACGTCTAGACTGGCCACATAAGACGGAATAGGCATGCAAAGCAGGCAAGTCAGAATAGGGAAATCCTATTTGCGAGTAGGAATAAGAGATCCTCCGGAAAAGGGCTTTATTCCGGAGGATCGCGCCAGTCTAGACGCTCTTTTCCGGCTTTTCCCCAAGCCGGAAAAAAAGCGGCGGCCATGTTTATTTAAATCCCGCGGGGGATATTTAAATCCCCCGCGGATTTCCCTATTCTGACTTGCCTGCTTTGCATGCCTATTCCGTCTTATGTGGCCAGTCTAGACGTAGCCTTGGAGTAGTGTTGGAAAAAAAGGAATGTACATCATTTCTACAGAGCGAAGAGATATTTAATTAATTTTGTCACTAAATATAGTACCTGAATTTTGGCACTGGTAACACAATAATTTGCAAGAAACTGTTTCGGGATATTTGGTTCAGTCTCTTGGCTTTTGATGATTTCGATTGCAGTAGTGCCAACATATCTGCTTTGCAAACTTAATCAGTAGTTCTATAAGTGCACAAGACTGGACATCTTGTAAATGAAATATATCTTAAATATAGCTTTTAAATAAAATGTGATATTTTCTTACAAGGTCTTTCGAGACATGGTAGGGAGAGGGAGTGGAGAAAATCTACATTCTTCTGTTATGCATGGTGCTGTCATTTCCAGTGAAACTGCTTGAATTCTTGGAGGGGGAGAAATTAGTCAAAATCTTTTTCCTTCCCCCTTCGGGCCTGTAACAGGGTTAGCACTCACCTCATGCGAGCACCCTCATTTGGCGGATTGCGGGTTCTTGCACTGCCTCAGTTTTAAAAGCCTCACAGCTACTCAGCTCTCCAGGAAAGTCACATTCTGTGCAATCACAAACCCCTTCCAAGGTGCACCTCTAACAGAGGCCCATCCCGGAGCCCTCCGTAGAGTTTCTATCGGTTTGATGCCGTTCCCTCTGTTTGTTGCCTCACTCTGAATGCGAGTGGTGCTAGACTTTCCCTCCTTTGCCCTTAGCTCAGGTCTTCACCTTAAAGTCCATCAGTCACTCAACAGCTCTGGACTGGGTGCTGTCCCTGGTTCTGCCAGCAGCCGCTCCAGACTGACTTGCCAGGGCTGAGCTGCAAATCAGCTGCCTCTAGTCCTGCAGCTCCTTTTGTAGGCCTTCCTGGCCCCTGATTGGCTGGTTCCTCCACAACCTCTCTAGCCTACCAGGAGGAATTCTCTATGGCCCTTCTCTGGCCTCCAGGCTTAGTCCACCCCGTCACAGGGCCAGATCCAAAATGCATTAAAATCACTGATTTCAGTGGAGTTTGGATCAGGCCTTATGGCTGTGATTCACCAAAGCACTTATGAGCACTTGATTAACATTCAAGGCCAGGTGGGTTGGAAACTTTAAGAGGTCCTGATGATTTGTCTCTTTGCAGTACCCACCCAGAGATCTGACTTGCTGGGAAATCAAGATAAATTCATACATTGTTCCCAGAGGTGATATCTTCCATTATTTGCAGTGAGGAATGAACCAGACCATAAATGTAGATGATGCTTAAAATGTTCATGTTTCTCAAAATGCAAGTTATTTTGCAAATCAGATGTTTACTGACTTATAATACATTTACTTGCAGGATCCAAAATTGCGTGAACAGTTGGATGCTGGGAACATAGGAGGTCGTCTGGAGAATCGAATGATAACTGTTGTCTATGGCCCAGACTTGGTCAATATATCGTACTTGAACTTAGTGGCATTTCAAGAGGAAATAGCAAAGGTAATGTACATTCAATGCTATCATCACTATTTATATTCATTAATTATTATTATAATATATTCAAATATGGATAAAATAGGGAAAAAGAGGTGATTGTTAAGATGTGTTCCTGGTTGAAATCAGCTTGCTATGAGAGAAATGTATTGTATCACACAAGCAAAGCATAAATCACTCCTTTTTCTCAGAGTATTCATTGGAAATAATAAGTCATTGGTGTCTTTATCCTCAGATCATTGCTAGTTATTCTCTTTGCAAAGCCGGAGTGAATGCTGTGTAAATAAGTGAATGTCCAAAAACAGTCTCAGCTTCAAAGAATGCATTGTGAATTCCCAATAATAAGTCAATATTTATCAACAATTTATTTCCTGTTCTGTGGAAATTTTGGGATCTCCTTGATACCGCAGTGTGGAAATGTTTGACTTTTGAATGTTGGCCTAGGTCAAAATAATGAATTGAACTTTGAAAGTCTGTTTATCTGCACCTGCCTATTAATAAACTGTTTTTCTAGCCAGCAACGACACATAGCTTATACACCTAACCTTTGTTGCAGAGTGCAAAGTTTAGTACTACAAAGTTTTAGCATAGCGTTTCTCCACTCCTAGTCATTATTGTAGGTAAACCCTTTTGGCAGGCAATTTTAAAGTACCGGCAATTTGCATACAATTAACGTGTGTATTTAGCAACATACAACAATTTTTTTAACACACGCTTTCACTTGCCTGACTTCAAATGCCCCCGAAAAACCTACAATCATTTTGTGATAATTTATGATATTTTTTTTTCTTCAAGGGGCTTTCTCCCAGACAGGAATTAATGGGCTATTCCTCACCCCCACCTCCACATAAACAGAGAGACTATTTTACAGGTGTACTTTCAGCTCTAAGACTACCACAAACACTAGAGTCTTCCTGATACTTTCCAATCAGCAGATTGTGGTGTCCACTAAATTGTCCAAGGATCAAAGTATTTATAGACACCCACTGTTTTTCTTGGGAAAGGGATATTTTCCTTACTCACTGGTACTCAAGAGGCCTCTCATCCAATCTTCTTCTGAGAGTGGGAAGCCCTGGCACCAAAGACCCACCACTTCAGCAAAGCATCAACCCATGCGGGAAGAGATGTGAGCAGCAACCATTTTGTTCACGTGTAGACGCATCTCACCTTTTCTCCATGTAGCTATGGTTGCTAACTCCCTCTGGCTGGTTGGTTGATTTGGCCTTCAGCCAACCCACAAGTTTCCTCAGTTTCTGGGCTATGCAGAAGTATAAAAAATAACTGTAGTCCATGGAGCACCTATTGAGGGTTTAAAAAATGCAGAATGGTTACTTCACAGTACATTGTACAGCTAGGCTCCTAAGAAACCCTACACAGTTTTATTCTTCATGGAAGGAAGGCCTTGAAATAACCATCACAAAAATGGAAAAGGAATCTGAAGGAAGATGTAACGGCATAACAAAACCAAACTGAACAAATCTGCTCATGTTTTGGAAGAAAGAGGAAATGAACGAACACAGGAAGAGTTGTATGTCTGTTTTTTTCTGTTTTCCAGTCTAGCCACCCCGGGTAAAAATCATGATATGTTTGCTTTTTGAAGGAGAAATCAGGAAATTTCAGAAATACTGTTATATGGCCATTGTCTACTTATTGATGGATAGTTAAAATACAACAAAGAACATTCGGTTTTGTGGAGGTTGAGCTACAGTAAATCCAGAATGAATTCTTTTGATTTTAGTAAGTTAAGATTTGAACCAGTCCCTTAATTTATCCTCATTGATAATCTGACACATACATAAGCCAATGGAGTTAATTTGTTAGTGATCTGTCAGGCAGTACGTCCTGAGGGTAGGATTTTCAAAAGCATTCGGCACTGACATAGCTCTGCTCCTATTAAAGTCTTGCTAAAACTCCCACTAATTTCACTGGGAGTAGAGTTAGGCCAACACAGAGCACCTGTGAAAATCCCACCCTGTTTGCAGATACCTCACTCTACTCTAATAAGCCCTCTAATTTTTCATAGGCCTGCTTCATGAACGCCACAAGTATAGATAGATCCCTACGGTTGCATAAAAAAGCCTCCGCCTGAGCTTACTTAATGTATATACATGGATTTTCTAAAGCTACACCAAACTGCAAGGTCTAAGGTTTTTAACTGCAACTCATTGTGATCTTGTCAAACTTTGTAATCTGTGTAACTCTCAGAAACTTACTGTAAGCGGCAAATTTGTAATCTTTTTAACTCTCAGCCACCTCGCTTGTAACTTTCTCTAAGCTGCATTCTCCCCTGAGTGAATGGAGAAAGAGTATGAGAGTGTGTTTGAAGAAGGCTTGGAACAATGGAGCACATTTCAATGTGTCATCATGGTGGAATGCACGATTGGCGCCTCCTCAATGGTGTGATGTCATCATTGGGTGCCTTGTTGAAGGCGGTGCCCTAGGCAACGGCCGAGTCGGCCTATACTCACAGGCCACCCCTGCTTGGAACAATGGAGCACATTCCAATGAGTCATCACAGTCTGGGCATGCTCCTTGCTGGATAAAGGGAAGTCTGGGCATGCTCCCTGATGACAAGGTGAATGAGTCACAGGGGCCATTCAGACACAATATAAGGAGAGGGAGCATATATGAGACTCTCTCTTTTTCCTTCCCCTGCTTCTGAGAAGCTCCTCTCCAGTGTCTCTCCTCCTGATCAGCTTTCCCAGACATGATGAGCAGACAGACCCTCCAGGATTCACATCCCTTGGCTCCTTCCACAACCCATATGTCTGTGTGAGTTTGTGAGTGCCTGAGGGCAGGGATGGAGGGGTGTGTGCTTGCTTGCTTGTCTGTGTGTGTGTGTGTGAGAGAGAGAGAGAGAGAGTTCTATCTTCTTTAGTTTAAAACCTTTGGTGGATGCTTACTCCTCTTTAGTTTTACCTAGTGGAAATAAACCCATCCTAGTGTAACCCTGGGTGGTCTCCAGTGAGAATATTTTTGGGGTAACACCTACATCCACATAAAGCTCCACTGGGGAATGGGGTCTATTCATGTGGACCTCATTGCAGGATCAGGACCTTATACATTTAGGAAGAGATTTTCAAAATCCCAGATGATAATCAAGTCTCTAATTCCCATTAAATTTTTAAGACAAGTAGGTGCCTTTCGGAATCTTCCCCCAGTCAAAACCATCCTCCTGTTGCAAGTATAATGACTAGATGGAAAAAGTCACCAATTAACATACTCCTGGGAATTCCCATTGGCCAAAACTTAGTTTCAAAAGAGAGGAAAACCAATTCTAAATGCACAGACATAAGATTCCCATTCCCAAACCATAAAACAATAAAATCTAACGGATTTATCTAGACTTTGCCCTACTTACAGATGGTGAAGAGTCTTTTCTTAGAGAGGGCCATGTTGTCCGTCCCCCTCAATATCTGGAGAGTCAACTGCCCAGGGACAAAGGAGGGAAAAATAAAAAATTCCTTTGTCTCAGTTTGAAATTCCTACCTGCATTTCTATTGGCTGACTGCTACCTGGCTAGGTACAGTTAAACCCTTAGTCCCCAGGCTGCTGGTCATCCCCTCATGACCATGCCAACTGGAGATGTTGAGATTTAAAAAGTTCATTTCTGTTTTACAGTTATAAAGCTTTAACAACCTCACATGTTAAATATTCAAAGTAAATATTCTTCAATCACATTCTAAGAAGAGCTTAAGATGTATTTGTCTCCGTTCATCTATCTGTACATTTTTGTGGGTTTGTGTGTACAGATAAATTAACGTAGATTGACATTTACCAATAAAATCTCATCTTTTTAAAGCCTGATTATGCTATTTCTGAAGCTCAAAACCCTCACTGCAAAATTTAAACTAAAATTATTTGAAAAAGTTCTTAACAAAGGAGTTTAAATAAATAAATTGTATTTTTTTTCTTACAGGAGAAGGTTTCTATTTCTGTAAGATCTGAGTTTCTTACTTTTACTGGTTACTCTGTTCAAAAGGTTCAGTTCCTCGCCTCTGCTTTCTGAGCTGTGACAGAATTAATGAGGATGTGAGCCTAAAGCTAAGCTTTTGCTACTGATTTAAGTGAATTGAATAAAGAACTAAAAAATTAAAATTAAGTTATATACCCAGTTTTGTTCACATTTCTTTAGGTAAAATAAATAATTTTAATACTCTTTGGGCGGGAGTTGAAAGTAACAGGCATGCTGATTAATACAAAGAGGGGACAGTTAGTGCCTCTTTTATTGGGAATCCAAGAAATGGATTACTATACCTTAATGATGGTGGTGATGATGAAGACGTATGGTAGTAGTGCAACTCTTTTGATTATTTAAATGGGAGTTGTATGGGTGTATCCAGGAACAGAATTTGCAGGGGATTCTAGACACTCTGGGTCTGTCTAGACTACAGGGTTCTTTTAAAAAAAAGTGGTCTTTTTTCGAAAAAACTGTACCTACGTCTAGACTACTACTGTGTTCTGTCCACAGGAACTCGAAAGAACACGGTGGTTTTGTCGACGGCGGTAAACCTCATTCTATGAGGAATAACGCCTTTTTTCGAAAGTCATCTTTCTAAAAAAGGCCCTGTTGCATGAAAACAGGGCTTTTTCGAAAGAGAGTGTCTAGACTCTGTTTCGAAAAAGCAAATCGCTTTTTTGAAAATATCTTCGTGCTGTCTAGACTCTCTTTTTCAAAAGAGGATTTTTCGAAAGATACTTTCAAAAAAGCCTCTTTCGAAAGAGGCTTGCAGTTTAGACGTAGCCTTTGGGTCAACATCTGGGCTTGAGTCTTCATTGGAATATATTGATGTAACTCCAGAGTAGCTTTTATGTAACCAATATAATTGAGAATGAGCCCTCTATGTTTGTTTTTCTCCTGTCCCTGTATAATCAAGGGCAATATTTACCCAACCCCATTTTGTCTGATCCTCTCCATTCAGACTACTCTTGAAAACCCTTGTAGCTTCCACTCCATTAATGGACTTCAAACAGTGTTCCCCAGAAACTATGCACTTGTGCAGCCA